TATTTGATATTTCATACTAGTTTTGATTTTGTTTTTTAAAATAATATTTAGCTTACAACTTGTTTTCGAACATTCCTGGAAAATATGAAAATGTCGTCTTCATAACCAAAAATCCTCGAAACAGGAATAAATGTTTTTATAAGTAACTCTCAGATCATAACAATTAAAACATATTATGAAAAATCAACTATGTACAAATGTGGCGAAAAATAATCGATGACTATAGGTTGTAATATCTGAATGATTTGTTTGAAATTAAATGGATTTTTTTACGGTTTAAGTCGTATGTTGCATCTTTCCGAATTTGTATGGACACTACGTTCTTAGGTATTAGTCGTTTTTAACAGTTTTCTCCTTATAAACGCAACAGATAGAAGTAAGATTAGAAGCGATCAAAAGCGCTTTTTTATCTCATTAAGCCTATACCCCCTTTCATTTTTCGCGAACACTCCCTTTAAGCAAAAATAAAATGATCGATATTGCATGAATAGATCATGAATATTAGAAACCTTTCAACTTTTCTTGAATTCCCTCCCCCCCTCTTTTTCATTTACATAATTACCCAATTCTTTCCCGCCATAAATTTTTTACAACATTTTCCTAATTTTTTTTCTCCCCCCTACTTAGTTTCCTCCTTTTTCTTCATATCTCTCCCCCTTCATCATTTTAGAAATAATGTAGCACTGAACGCCTCGAATTCCAAGTATTTATGTTTTTGCAAGAAACTGTGATGATGTCTGCCTCTGCAAACAGAATTGAAAATTTGCACACTGAGTCGAGTTGGGCAAACTTTCATTTTAGCCTTTATCTCATTAAACTGGAGTTCACACAAACATTCATAAAACAACTGCAATTTAAAAATTAATTAGTTTGAGAATAATACATGATGACGTCAAGCTAAAGTAAATGAGTAAATAATATGTAAGATTGAATTTTTATATGTTTTCAATCAATTTATTCAAGAGTTATTGACAAGAACAAAAATGTTTTGATTTTTTAAAATATGATCGGAAAATTTCTTATGAATTTCTAATATATGATCGGAGAATTTCTTGTAAATTTCTAATATTCGATCGGAGAATTTCTTGTAAATTTCTAATATTCGATCGGAGAATTTCTTATAAATTTCTAATATTCGATCGGAGAATTTCTTATAAATTTCTAATATATGATCGGAGAATTTCTTTTAGATTTCTAATAGATGATCGGAGAATTTCTTATAAATTTCTAATATATGATCGGAAAATTTCTTATGAATTTCAAATATATGATCGGAGAATTTCTTATAAATTTCTAATATATGATCCGAGAATTTCTTTTCCCAAACTTAATGTCTAAGTAGAATTTACGTTTAATAATTTAACAACAACTGAACTCTGACTACTCAATATTCTTGCAACCTGATATTTGAAATTATGAATTCTGTTTGATAAAAACACTGAAAAGTTTAAATATGACAAATCTAAGGCTTACACCATCAACAACAGATTGCAAAGATTATAAAAATTATATCAGTTCTTTCTTTGTAATTTGTAAATGAAAAATTTGCAATGCACTTTATTTAAAGGTGCAAAGCTGTCTGTGGGTAAAACATGAAAATACTGTTTATACGAGATTCTGATCATTGCTTTAAAATGCATTTTTAAGTATTCAACAGAAGCCATATACAGTTTAATTATAGATGTTAAACCTGTTTTAGATTGAGAAAAATATGACTAAGAAAAAATAAAAATTGAAACAATTGTGCAAAAATAATTCTGAAATGAGACCTTGCAAAGAGGTGTTATTTTTGCAGTGTATGTTGATTTTTACTCATACCTATATAATTCAGGTGTGTTGGCTGGAGGGGGGGNCTATCTATCTACCTATCTATATATTTTTCTAACTATCTATCTATATCTCTATCTATCTATCTATCTATCTATCTATCTATCTATCAATCAATCGAGCTATATCTATTTGTCTGTCTGTCTAGCTTTATTTCTTCTATCGTGTTCCCTCCTTGTGTAAATAGTTATTTCCTAAAATATCGTATTTAAACTATATTCTGCTACCTATCTATCTATCTATCTATCTATCTATCTATATATCTATCTATCTATCTATCTATCTTTCTATCAATTTCTTTGTTTCTTTCCATCTATCTCTAAATATTTCTATCTATCTATCTATCTATTTACTCCTGTAAGTTTATATCTGATGTTAAATATCTATCTATCTGTCTATCAATCCATCTATCGTTTACTGAGCAAACAAACAAAAACAGGGCTTATATATATATATATATATATCTACACACAATTAAATAACCTTTCATAATCATTTTAAAATAAATTTTTCATTTTTTCAAATAATTAAAATTAATTCTTAGAATAATTTTAAATTTTATTGTATTTAGTCACGGTGCGGAATTATTTTATTCAATTCGGCAAATTTTTAATATTAGAAGAATAAAATTAGAAACGTTAAAATCATTCAATTTCAAAATATTTTTATTTTATTTTCCGATATCTCAAAGAGTCTGTTAAACTGTAAGAAAATATTTGCTTGAAATTTAGGAAATTGATTTTAACGACCCTCTTGCAATATCCCCCCCTCTCCCCTCTCTTCGAGCTGTTCTGAATTTTAAAACATATAACCAACAATTCAAGTATTTTAAACAGGGTCATACTTTCATT